TGCGGCGAGCGTAGGAAAACTACCACCCTGTGATCCCGGGAGAACCGTCAATATACAAGTTCTCAATTTACAAGAATTGCGAGAAATTTTGATATGTTGCGCATAAAAATAACGTACATGATGTGTTACCTAAAAGCACCTACGCGTAAGGTATTACGTTATCCAATACAAATATGCATTATCAATCTTTCTGTTGGCTCCCAGGCTTTTTCTTTCCATTTTGACTTCACGGAAAAATAAGTATAACATCAATCTTAAGCACGAAACATACTCTCTCATCGTAAATGGTAAAACGTTTTTCGTGTTATCAAAGGTGTATAATAGCTTACATGGCCATTTGTTACATCATAATGGCTAGTCATTACCTTTATATGGAAAGGGAGAGTACGCTCATGGCATATCCTAAGTTAAGATGACATTACAACAAAATCAAGACAAAGGTTCATCGCAACAATAGGAGGAACATGAAACAAATCTTAGAGAATATGGCTTACTAGATATTTGGAATCGATTTGTATTTACGTGGTCGGCAATATAATAGGGAGTTTAAGCTTGCATATAAAATCGAAACGCCAACGACCAATCGCCCATACAAATGCATCGCTTAAATATTTTCCGTTCACGTTGCAAGCGTAAACTCCCTAATGATTCGTGACACGTTGCAGATGGTTATTTGTACGTTCATTTATTTCTTTTTTGCAAGATAGTCAAGAATTTGAATTTTCATAAATTTGACTTTGTTCAAATTCAACAAACTCTCTCTGTATAGGCGTTTATCTCAGTCACGCTGTTATACAATGCGACACATTCAGTTCATTACGCTAATCCGGCCATTTATTTCTAGGACGTTATAAATGATTTTTTACTTAATGTTCGAACATTTCTTCAAAAACGGTCTGAATTGCCTGCACGCCCATTTATTTTAAGAGTCTTAGTGTAACTCGATCCTAATTGAAGGATACTGCAACAATAATAGCAGGTACGTGTATCATTAAGCTTTCAATCATGTTAATAGATAAGTAGAGTCTGAATTCCTTCCTATCATTTCTTCTCTAAGGTCATCTATAATTGATTTGGCGTTTGTGCGAACAGGACACGTTACTAAAGTCCGTCACGTCTTATGTTCTCGGGTAATCTATATTAAGGCGTGTTTCACAGCTCACATGTTTTCTAATTAGAGTGGGAACAATATTTCACACTGTACCATGATCCTTAGTTCATCTAAGATCAAACTCTATCACTTGGGTGTAGCCCAAAAAAATATTCACGTAGTACTGTCTGTTTGAAATCCAAACCCCATTGCGGAGGATACATGAATTGTTTGATATTTACTTGCTGTTTATTCTAAATATATTGGATTGTCTTTTCGAAGCTATGATTATGTCTTTGTTTCTGAGAATATGAAAGGATATTTGCCATGTTGTCTAAAGAAACACATTGATTTATGTAAGATAAAGTGACCAAATACAATTATCTACTGAACATGGGAATGTCGATTTTCAAAATTGCATGCATGATGGAATAAAGCTATATTTAAAGAAGCCGGGCCAAACGAATGTGAAAGGTTCATAGCGAATAGCTAGAGCAATTCACGTTAATTTACTTTTTGGTGTAAAATATCCATTGAATTGTGGAGTTCTACTTTTGAGTTTTTGCAATATTCTAGCTTTACTATGTTGATTCTTACTAAAAACAAATGTAAAAACTCATGTATTGTTTATTTTAATATAATGTGCAAAATGATCTCCTTGGCTGTTATTTGAACCAGGATATATTGTCGTTCCCCTGATGATATTAGTCTAGGATGTCCAAAAAGTATATGTTGTTGTGTTGACGATTCTGAAATATTGCACCGGTCATGTTGATATTTTTCTATAAATATAGTTCACCTGTTTGCAGCGGTGGCTATTAAAGGTAAAATTGTATCATGAAATGCTGGAATTATTATTGTTAATACTATAAATGTTAATACTAAACAAAACTGTAATACTTATTTGTTTATAGATCTACAGCATATCTATATTATCTTTTAAATAATTTACAGACGCTTTCCATTTTTTATTGACTGGATGGAATATAAAATATAACCTTTGAAACATTATCATGAAATAATGTCAAAACTGTTCGGATTTTTAAAATTAATAGCGTGACGTAGAATGTCGTTGGCAAAGAAACTTAAATTAGGGCAATATTTTAGAACGTTGGTTAACTTGTCTACTACATAGTCCTTGTCGTTGTTGTTATTCACGTTCAACTATAGCTACTATTTTTGAAAGTCAAGGTCATTCACATTTGACCTTTAGGTCTGACATAGGCCAAAATGCCCTAATACGTCACTTCCGCTGAATAGAAAAAAGTAGTATTCAAAAATAAATGTAGTCCCAACACAATTGTGATCATGACGAGTCAGTAAGCTAGTATGTAGGCACAGTTGTAATCTTTTTGCAATGGCAACATGCCATTTCTTCTGAAAATGCGTTTATTTGGGTTATCTGAAGGAAAATTTCGAGTCAAGTGGCGTATTAATTTTGCCTTCATTTTTGTGAATTTCAATTTGTGTCTGCAGAGAGAGGGGGTAGTGTCACAATTGACCAATTATTTCAAAAAGTAGATGATTGGCCCCTATTGAGTTTAGTGTCAAGATGTAGCTTAGACATAGCTTTAGAACCTCAGATAGGCCAGTGAGGCCACATAAATCCATAACTCGAGATAAAAAGTCAGGCGTTTGCCCTTTTGCCCATTGACTAGTATGGTGACGTGAATTAGGGCAGTTTTGCCTATTAGTCACATGTAAAAGTGACCAAAATTTTTTAAAACTACTCAGAATCGCCCAGAATTGAAGTTTATTAGTGTGAAACATATTTTGGACGGAGGCAAAAAGGGGAATTTTCATGAACAAATTTAATGTTTTTGCTGAATCAGCCGTTTTCGCTTTTTACCCCAAAAACCACTGATTTTGACGTTATTTGGCTACAATTTTGTCCTTAGTGACCCCTAAATGTCATTTGTTGTCGTAAATGGGGAAGCCAACGAGTTGCTATTCATCATAAAGATTGAATTTTCCATCTTATGGTTTCCAGTATAGAAAGAAGGTACATATCGGGGGTGCAGTCAGAAATTGGTGAGTTAAGTGTCAATTTTTGATGTATTTGTTCACTCTGAATGACTACATTCGAGCTAAAAATATCTCAAAAGTCCCAATTCTCTAGGCCAGAGTCAAAACTGATCAAATTTGTCATCATTTTTCAAATCAGGAGGTTGTTGAATGGAATAAAGTATGAAAAAGTGATGATTTTAGTAAGATTTTGCCAAAAAGTGGGCCAAATTTGTCCAATTTTCTGGTTCACGGTTCAGTGATTTTGGCTAAAAATCGCAATATGCAATAAAATACTCAATTTCTTGACACGATACTGAAAAATGTCACCATCAGGCAGTGGATTTCATGATGTAAATGAAAAACTAGTCAAATTTAAGGAAAACCATTGGGTTCTTGGAAAAATGACCCCAGGGGTAATGAAGTAGCCATATTTTTCATAATTGCTGTCAGAATATTCTTAAACTGCACAAAACTACTTGAAAAACTCTAGTAAATTGGAAAAAACGCAATTTAAAGCCAGAAATCATCCAACCATGTGGCTATTAGGCCAAAATGCCCTAATACGTCACTTCCGCTGAATAGAAAAAAGTAGTATTCAAAAATAAATGTAGTCCCAACACAATTGTGATCATGACGAGTCAGTAAGCTAGTATGTAGGCACAGTTGTAATCTTTTTGCAATGGCAACATGCCATTTCTTCTGAAAATGCGTTTATTTGGGTTATCTGAAGGAAAATTTCGAGTCAAGTGGCGTATTAATTTTGCCTTCATTTTTGTGAATTTCAATTTGTGTCTGCAGAGAGAGGGGGTAGTGTCACAATTGACCAATTATTTCAAAAAGTAGATGATTGGCCCCTATTGAGTTTAGTGTCAAGATGTAGCTTAGACATAGCTTTAGAACCTCAGATAGGCCAGTGAGGCCACATAAATCCATAACTCGAGATAAAAAGTCAGGCGTTTGCCCTTTTGCCCATTGACTAGTATGGTGACGTGAATTAGGGCAGTTTTGCCATAGGAACTTACTCTTCATTACAGATAAGCGTCTGTTCCGCACTGTGACGTGTCTTCAGACGCCTCGAAGAACAAAACAAGATCTTTCTCGCAAAAAGTCCATTAGTTCCCTATCAATAAGCTATCAACAAGGCTAACTAGCAATCGAATGAAAATACAGCATAAACTCCTGTAATTTGTCATATTATGAGACAGTTTGACAGAATGCTTGATTCTGAAATGAGATCATTGTCTTTGAGGCAGAGCTAATGATGAGACATAAAAAAGCACTTATCTTATTTTGGTTTCGTGAGGGAATTCTTGAAAAAGAAATCACACTTGTTAGATATTTATAATGAATATTTATACTGTGGCTTGCTAATACCTTCCTCTCCTATTGGTTCAACATGCAACAGGTTGTAGGTGTTCGATGCATAATCCAAATGGGAGCAAAATGTGGAACAAGGTGTTATTAACTTGACGATGAAGTCTCGAGCGTCACGTACACCGCACAAGCTAGCTCAGCATTGATTTTAAAAAATGGGACACTTGCACAGCGCACATATACTTAGTACACAAGGTGTAATATATCGAATATATGTTTGGTTTGGTAAAGAAATATCAGCTCCTCTCTTAAAAATCTGTAATCACTCTTTGCAAGGACTTGAAGATTTCTTTCGTAGATCTTTCATTTTATAAGCCCAAGGGGATGGAAGTCATCTATTATTTTGTTTATCCCCTCTACCCTAGCATTGTCATCGTCAAGGGCAATTAACCAAGTTCACGCACGTCATGAAACAATTACCTTATTCTAAGATGAACGATTTAATCTTAAATACATCATGATAAAGTGACCATATACTCGAGCATTAAAACTTACATTATAATTTTTATGGATTATCTTTTATTTTCAGTTGCGGTGGTCGTCGCCTTCTTTGTATGCTGGGCACCCTTCCACGCGCAGAGATTAATGGTCATATACGTACGTAATTGGACACCACGGCTAATGGAAGTCCAAGGGGTGCTTTATTACATCTCAGGCGTACTATACTATGTGAGCTCAACAATCAACCCCATCCTTTATAACATTATGTCGCTCAAATTTCGACAAGCATTCATTTGTACAATCCTTAAACCATGTCGACGTCGGAGAAAGCGTCCCCAGTTCGTGACGTATAGATTTAACAAGAGTCACACCGATACAAATGTGACAATGGTTGTTGGGTATTCCCCCGATAATAACAATAGGAATCGTCCCCAGGGCGGTAGTAGCCAGGAACCTGGTGCTACACGAAGCCATAGCCGATCAAATAGCGAGATCAGCGGCACGTCGTTGCGCATGATTGATAATGAAAACCAAGATCCACTTGGGGGTATTGAACTGGAACAGCTTCTAGATGAAATGAAACAGACCGTATCGGGGACGTATCACTGTCTTACAGACCCTAATATTGTACCTAATGGAAGTATACATTCACAAACCAATATATGTAACTAGGAGGCACTAAATGGGTTTATATTGCGCCAAGGGCCAAGGGTTACTGAACGACTTCTGTCAGCTCGGTAGAGTAAGCCATAGAGTACTCGATTTGCTATCCACTTGATTCATTGAATGATACGTCGCCCCAAGCTGTAGGATTAACAGGGACTTTCGTTAAGGATGATATAATAGCCAAATTTACTATCTCCGTAAAACAAGCCAAATCCTCTATTTGTTTTCAGATAAGCGTAATTCCCGAATTACCATTTGAAAAAGATTAATCAATCTAGGAGAGTGGAAATACAATAAAGCAGATCTGATTGGTGCCAAACCACTGCATCAGATAGCATTGACCTGAAAATAGATCAGCGTATTCCAGATGTGAGGAAGGCGTAGCACTATTTTGAATAACGTGATCGTGAAACGTGTAAATTTATAATATCCTGTTTTGAAATATTTTCCTCTTCGAGTCATTTACTTGACCGATTGACAATAATTGTATGAGGAAAAAGGTGTAATTAGGTTCTTACATAAAGAAAGAAGAGGAACAGCAATCTCCGTATTCCATTATTCATAATGTAACACGTACACGTGTAATTGAACATCGTCATTCTGGTTTATCAGAGTACCTCTTTATCTAAAGCGTGAGAGACTTTGATTTATCATAAGCAAGACAAAAATGTTCCTGGTCACATAAACAGGAGGACAAAATTATTGTCTTGGAATATATTGTCCATTTTCCCTTTATGTAAACTATTTCATTACAAATACAAAGAAACTCTCACTTTCTCTTATTTTTATATTGAAAAATAGTGGCTATGGAACTGTTTGCAATATTCCCTTTTTATTCTTCCTTTTTCGGTTTTAAACAAAAAATCGTGTCAAAGTCAATACTTGAACTATTTCGTAACTCTGAAATAATTTTTGTCTTATTCAAAGATAAATGAATACCTTTCATAAGATAATGAGTTGAGGGCTTATTCATAAACCAATAAACACTAATACACGTCGCACGAAACTGGGGACAATTAGAGTAACATTATGGCGTCAAAATTCCAAAACAATACAATGGGCAGTATAGGGCGCAATCAGCATTATAACGTCAAAAACGACAAGCGTTACATTTTGTCAAGTTTAGTCAACCTAAAAATAAGGTGCTTTATTCTTATTCCATCCTGGTAAAATTCACAGAGCAACAAGATCTCGAGGACAATATTGCTAAAATGTTTTTGATTTTTGAAAAACGGTCAGGAAATCCACTCGGGGCGTTAGTAAAAATTGATGTGTATTGGATTTGTGGTAAAAAGTCGATGCGTTACATTTTTTCAAGTCTCTAAAAGCAACTCTTATTCTCTTATTATTTGAAAAATAAAGAAATCAGTTATTGTTTTGTAAATTTCGCCATGACAATATTGTGCAGTTAATTTTTTTTGGAAATCAGACCTAAATTAGAAGGTTAAATAAAGGTAAACTTATTGCTTGTCTCCTTCGCCTTCAAAACCTTACACAATTTTGGAAATCTTAAAAGCGTTCATATAAGACGATTTGAACTGTAGCCGCTAGGCAATTGTGACGTCATAAAAGCACATGTTTTAATGAATAAAATGTGAAATTTTAGTAAAATTCTGATCAGTATTTCAAAAGTAATCCCGATTTCAACGAACCGTGTAAGCGTGAAATGTTACGCCTTACAGCGTATTTGACGATGTCGGAGTACATTTAACTTCAAAAGTATGGTAGATCCCATCACACTTTTCAAGGAAAAATAATTTCAGTGAAATGCGAATAAAAAATACTTCAATATGATATATAATGGACATGGTTAGCTTTTTAAATAAGCCAGATATTAACGCTTAAAGCTGAGATTAGCCCGTATTTCCCGAATTGTCCCCAGGTCCGTGCACGTCATATAAACAGTTGGAGTTTGGTAAAACTTTAATAGCTGTTATATTTTCACTTTTAATTGTAATTTCTAAGAGGTTGTTTATTGGTATTGTGATTTTAAGCCACCGTTTCCTTTGTTTGGATTAACTTTTCAGAAAATGGCTTCATAAGTTTAGAACTAACCTCTGCATTCGGGGTAATGCGTTGTATAAAAAAGAAAAAGAATCCGTTGTGAGTCTTATTTCAATTTGCACAAAAACATTTGTGAACTAGTTCTTGTATGCGAGATATTTTCAGGTCAATGACCAGCATATTCATTCCAGAACCAAATAATGCCATGTTAGTTTGGGTTAATCAAGTTCAGAATGAAATCAATCAGGCATGTTTGTTTTTGCGAGGGTGCTATTTCCAAGGTGAAATACCAGTAACATCTATGAAAATAGCATTGCTTTTAGGTTTCATATTTTAGTCTTACTTGTTCTTTGTATTTTTCCCATCAATAACATGGATAAAGTGTTTTACGGAGTTTGGGATTTAGAAAATACGTGAAAAGACCATCGAGTGGGCTCATCGGTAGTACAGGGTGTACTGGGCAAATATTGTGCGCCATTTATTTATGTATGATCTGGTATGTGACATAGGTGATTCAAAGTGTAAATATATGTAATTGTTCTGAATAATTCTGAAGATGCTACAGGTTGATGCATCAGTTGGATAATATTTGCTCATCCAGCTTCTTAGATCGATCGATCTATAGAAACACATTGTGTATTGTTTATTGCCTCTGTCGATGGATTAGTTCTATAAAAAGTTATTTTTCTATGCGTATCCTTGTTTTTGCTGGTGAAGAAACTCCATGAACAGGAAACTGACATTTAAACACACCGAACATTCGCCCAATGCATAATACATGCTGTGGATGTTTTAAGCATGTTGAGCTATCCATCAGTTTTTTAAATGCTAAGTCAGATCATCAAGGAGATTACTCAAGCAATCAGCTATATCATAACTGACGTCTTGGTGAAAGATCTTGATTGTAATTAAACTATGGAATATTTAAGAACAAATATAATTGTTCAAATGTAAGAAGCGTTATGTTGCTAATATATTTCTTACTAAGCTGTAATATCAACTCCCCGAGCTTAAGATGTACAATTTCAAAGCTAAACTAAATCTGCAAGACCTTCACTGAACTTCAATTAAAACAGAATTTCTCATCTTTGATTTTGATTCTCCATTTATAAGTCATGTGGATTCCCCATTACGTCATTTCCCGCATCATCTCCAATCAAATTGCACCTGATGTGATCACCTGAACAATCATGAGCACGTGCTCTCTCAGTGCTGCCTTTGCGCAAAGTTAAATTTGAAATCGGGAATGGCGTTAACATCAGTTCAACATCATCATTTCAAACCTACGGTAATACTATTGAAGTTACTCGATCCATACTTGTAGAGTATATACTCACGTTTTCGAACGTGCCAATACGAAAGGTCATCTTTGGGAAATCCCCCCCCCCCCTGTCAATATTTTGAGTTGGTACGCACACTCGGGGATGCCGGATTGCGTGGCCGAAGGCCAAATCCCCCCTCCCCACCCCCCTACCCCCCCCCCCCCCCCACCCCCCATTCATGTTGACTGAATGGTAAACATACAGATACGGCAGGATGATGTCATCAAGGTCAGTCCACACTCCTGTATGTGGAGTCATTCAAATCACAAATAAGTCATCGGCGTCTAATGAGAAACCCCCTTAATCCTTCAATAATTTTTGTTAACATTATCATTGTATCAAGGTAAGATAATGAGCTTGACATTTTGGACGTGGTAAATTATTACGTGGAGGATATATCATCTATTATAAGCTCTTTCATCTATTGTCCCATGGTTACAAGGATAAATATCGAATCTCACGTGAAGCTATATTTAACATGTGGACCTGGATTATGTATTTTAGCAAAAAAAGGATATCTGATGGTTTCAAAAAGTGATATTCGATGGCCTCGATTTTTTAATTTTTCAAGATTTTTTTTCAAAAACAAATAAAAAAAACATTTTTTCAACATTTTTTCGCTGGGTAATGATTTCCCATCGGATAAACAGACAATCCTATGGTTTTTCAAAAATATCAATTCTTCACTTATTCGGTGCGCTCGCTCATGCAGATATCAACATCCACTCATGGATATAAATGATATTTTTCAAGACCATAGGATATTCCTATAATATATTTTATCTATCAGGAACTGAGTGTGATCTATAAGTAGGTGGAACGTGAAATGGCGGAACTATCACCCGTGGAATCATTTCAGCAGAGGTAGACTTACTTCCGTATGATTGTGGCCGACTAAGTCTAAATCCCATCAAAAGTTAAATACCTATTCATACTAGCGTGCATGTAGTTAATTTTTTCCATCATTCATTTTCATGGGGTCCCCTTCCTACTTATCAATCGTTATAACGGCGATAAGTCAGTCGGAGTTGATTAAACACCTGTCACCCTGCTGCATAGTGATATATACGTAACGTCCGTGTTGGAAAAGCGTGGGTCTTTGCGCAGATTCTCAGTCATTGACCATGAAACTCCAAAGTCGAATATTCTTAGCCTTAATCTGATCATGGACTTTCAAGAGACTCTTGAAAGTCTAGAAGGTATACAAATAGATGAAACAGCTCAGACTAGAGACCCTAGAGATTGTAGAGTGATCATATTTACCTCGATACCTTTACAGTAGAGAACGCCTCCTTTGGTCTGTTCGGGAAAACCATTTGCCCACTATTATTCATGCTTTATACTGTGTCCTCTGGAGAGATTTTGCTCGAAAGCAAAAAAAGGATATTGATGATATGTTTATTATCTAAGGTAATGCGACTTCAAATATTAAATACTTCAAGTGCAAGTATATATTAATTAAATAATCATACCGCCTGAAGAAGGGGCGCTTGTTTCGTCTTGTCCGGGATGTCCTTCATTACCCCGGCGGTAAGCTGTATCCCGTTTTCCTCTGGTCTCATTTACAATTTGATTGCTAATAATATATATCTAATAAATCCACTTTTATAGGCTAGAACACGTCGGGACCCTTAACCCTAAAATATATGACAATCGGGAGGTTTTGGGTTCGATTCCGACCAGGGTGGAGTGACTTTTTCACATCAGCCCTTATAGGATTTGATCATATGTTTTCATATTAACAATATGCTTGATGAAAAGTTTTTGATCATGATGAGCGATATATTAGTTTAAAAATGCCCATGACAGATAATTAGAACGATTATTAATCAGCTTTATCATAACTGACGTCTTCAAAGATCTTGATTGTAAAATATGGGATATTCTTAAACATATTAGATAACTGTTCAAATGTACTTTGAAGTGTTAAATTAACCAATTTATAAACATGGAGAACAACGCTGTAAGATGCAAGTGGCAAATTATCAAAGGTGGGAAATTTTTAAGAGTTCTTATCTATCAGGAACGTAGTGTTATCTTATCCGTTATCTTAGACTTTTAATCGTTCCAGAGATAGATTTGACAAAAAAAAGAAAAACAAACTCGCAAATGACCAAGTTCAAGGCCCAACCGGAGAACACTACATTTTAATGAAAATCAACTTCCGCGTAATTGTGGCCAGCTGAATCTAATTAGTAGGTGTTTATAATACTAATAACATCATTTCAGAAGGCAGCATATTGAAATCCTGGCCCTCAGGCCGAGTGGCCTTGGACCAAGATTTCACTGTGTTGCCCTTCGAAATCAGATTAGTGGTATAATTACTATTTAGAAAATAAATTTTGGTCCATCGAGATACATGTTAAATCATCCTTGCTGCAAGGGTATTTTACAAGTACATTCAATTTACACATAAATGAAGTCCTTTGAACAAAGGATGTGTGACATTGACAAAAAATTGGAAAATTCTCTAA